TAATTTGTAATATAAGAATATATTAAATGAACTCGCTTTAAATTTCCTTTTTTTAAAACTCTTTCCTCCATTTAGGTACTAAGAGAGTCATGTTTAGCAAGCTCATTATGGGTCTTTTTTTAGCAAGCCCTAGGTATTTCCTCAGCACTCGGCCATTCCATTGTGGGTCTGGCCGAACCCACAATGGTCTTGCTAAAAGAGGCCTTCTTAGTGCCCACAGGGCGGAGAGTTTTTTAAAAAAAAAAAAAGAAAAAAGGAAGAAATGCTCGCGAATTTATCAATTTTTTTCCAGCTCGTCCCCCAACTTCGTCCCCTCTTCTCACATCACCCTCTAATAAATACAATTCAACAAGTTATATAAATGTTCAACCCCAGTAAGAGATGGTTGAACACCCCGAAACTCTTGTTTAATCTTACCTAAATGGATCCTTCATAGTTTCTCATCTTCAATGGGGTGCATTGATCGATGGTTGCCAATTAGACTTAGATATATCCTGCTGTTTTTGGCTACTGTCTCGCCTACTGACCGCAGATTGAGTTGATTGGAAAGCATCTTTATCTAAAGCAAGCACTCGCTAAAGTGCAAAACTTTTTTTAAAGATAAAATTAATGAACGGAGGATCCTTCGTTCGAATTACAATCCCCTCTCCTGGCTCTGCAAAGGAAATGTAATTTTAATTTGATCACAAGAATTCAAACATGTTTAAAAAATTAATGGCAATTTATTTTATTTATTATAATAATTTTTTTCCTTTCCCTTCTCCTTAACGGCCGTATTTTAATTAATAACTTATACAGGAGACGAGACAATAAAAGCGGGTTATAACATTAAAAAAAAAGAAGAAAAGGGGAGGAAGAAGGTCGAAAAGGGAAGGCATCATCGTCTCATTTTAAGCGGAGCAATATCCATTTTCATTTGATTTCGCTCTTACTCTTACACTTGACTAAACTACTACCTATATGGTGCAAAGTGAGAAGCTGCCATTTTCTATCCAGTTCTCCTTCTCGTTACCCGGGCAACCGTCTCTTACTGCAGAACACAGAAGCATTATACGGAGGGTGCTCCTTGCAAATTTACTGGCAGTGAGGCGATATTCGTCAACACCTCAGCACCCAGCTCGTCTGAAACTGGTAGATAATTGAGAAGGGACGACGTTAACGGTCGTATTTGTTTTGACTGACGTTCCCTCCAAGAACACTTGAGCCTTTAGGTAGTTCTATGAAAACGGAGAGAAGAGAAACGGCTGGGGCGGAAATGAGACGTTTCGCCCGTTCGGAAAATAAGTTTAGCTGGGATTTCGTCACTTCACTGCAGTTTTACTAGCAAAATACCAACATTATCCACTTATTGTAACTCCTTGTATGTAATGTGACTGACTTAAATGCATCCCGGTAATGGCTTTCGTAAGATTTTGTTATTAGATATCTAATATGACGTCATATCAGATCATCCCTTTTATTCTTGCAACATGAC